AGCCAGTATGTCCCCAGACCACCCACCAGTACCCCAGCGACGTCGCAGTGCAGCCCATCACGTCCCCACGTGTCCCAGTGACATCCCAGTGCCCCCCCATCACATCCCAGCATCATCCAAACATCTCCCAGGGATGTCCCACAGCAACCCCAGCATCTCCTAGTACGTCCCAGTGTACTGCAGCAGCACCTTGGTGTCTGCCCGCGATCTCTCAACACATCCTAGTGCATCCTAGTACCTCCCAGTGCGTCCCAGTATACCTCAGGGGTGTCCCAGGGTGTTCCAATGTAGCCTACTTGGTCCCAGCAAACGTCCCAGTGTCTCCCAGTGACACCTCAGCACATCCCAGTCTTTCCCAGTGACTCCTCCGCGATGTCCCAGTGTCTCCCAGCGGTGCCGTACCCTCGGTGGGTGACTCCTCCAGCAGCAAAGAGCTGATGGTCTCCCAGTCCCGCAGCCGGGGCCCGGCGCAGTCCCACAGGCTGTCCACCAGGTAGGCTGCGTGCTCGTGGAGCTGGGGATGTTGGGGGGACACGTCACGGCGTGTGGGGGACCCCCCCGGGACCCCCCCAGCGACCGCTCTCACCTCGCTCTCGATGAAGAAGTCCAGCAGCAGCCGGAAGAAAGTCCTGTTGTCCCCGTCCTGGGATGGCTCTCGCTGGGGGTCCAGCAGCCTGGGGACATGAGGTGACACTGGGGGTCCCCCTGTGCCCACGCTGGACATGGGGTGGGGGGCAAAACCCCGGGGACACGCAGACACGGGGGTCCCAAGCACCTGAGCAGGATGTTCAGGGGACAGTGCCCCACGGGACAGGGGCAGGGGGGTCCCATGTACCCCCCCTGTGGGGACAGAGGCGAGGGGGGGACAGGGACCAGACACCCACGGGACAGGGGCAGGGGGGTCCCACATACCCCCTGCTGAGGGGGACACAGGGACCAGACACCCAAGGGACAGGGGGGTCCCAAGTACCCCCGGCTCTGGATCCAGCCCCCCAGGAAAACACCGACACGGGGCCCCCCCCAGTGTGGCCCCTGAGCCCCGGGGGACAGGGAGGACCCGGTGTGACGCCACCCCAGATGTGCGGGGGCCGGGACCGGGAGAAGCACAAACACCGTGGGTGCCAGGAGCCGCCAAGGCCTGCGCCCAGATAACGATGGCGCCGGCGGCCCCCCCTCCTTGCTCCGCCGCCGTGGGGCTCGGAGGGCTCGGAGCCAGCCGACCCACGGGGCTATGGGGCAGCTGACCCCGCACGTGCTGGGCTCGTGTTTGCCCCGCAGCCAGCCCAGCTCCCGCTCCCATTAAGGAGCGGCGCTAACGAGCCCAGGACGAAGCTCCAGGCTGCCTGCCAAGGCTCCCTGTGGCCCGGCGGGAGGATCCCCAGCCTGAGTCAGGGTTTGGCAGCAAGAAAAGGCAGAAAAAGCTGGGGGTTTTACGGGGGCTGTGGGAGGGTTGGGGACTTGGCCGTCCTTGCTCACCGGCGGTAGAGGAAGAGCCCGGCGGCGGTGGCCAGTGGCCTGTTGGCCACGTAGACCATGGGGTAGACGTTCTGACAATCCTCCTCTGTCAGCGCCTCCTCCATGTTCCTGCGCAGGAGGAACAGTGTGGGGGTGGTCCCCACTCCCCCTGTCCCTCTTCTCCCCACGGGGCCACGTCCCCAGGGTCCCTGCAGGACCCCGTGTCCCCCCAAATCCCCATCCCCATCCCCGGTCTCCCCCTGTCATGGGAGGACCCTCTGCCTCCCCACGTCCCCCCAACACTGGCCCCCGCGCTCACTCCAGCATCAGCGTCAGCAGCTTCACCACCTCCACGGCCACCTCGGGCTCCTTGTCGAGGACCATGGACACCATGCGGGTCTGGGGAGGGGGAGGGTGGTCGGTGACACCCTGTGGGGACCCCCCCAGCTCCCACAGACCCCGGCTCACCTTGAAACGGCTGGTGAAGAGCTCCATGTGGGCAGCCGTGTCCCGGTGGCCGTACAGCCCCTGCAGCGCCTTCACGCACCGCAGCCGCACCTCCCACTGCTGTGGGGACAGGGACCATCAGTGGGACCCCCC